TTTTTTTTTTTTTTTTTTTTCTACTGCAATACTTCTGTTACATGTATGAAACGTTAGATCTTTCAAACTGTATCAATTATATATAATATACACGATTGAACGTAATAAATGAAATGAACGTCAAACAGAGAATTCTCTTCCGCGTAAAAGAGTAAATCGTCTATTAAATTTCCTGCCAAAGGAAATGTCAGTTTTCATGCAACATGACAGTAATCGAAGTGTTTATTTCTAGGATGATAGAAGTGCTCCGTCATCCGCGTGACAGAGAAAGGAAATCTTTATTTCGCGTGGATCCGCTCCTGTTGCAGGCCACTACCACCTCAGCTCAGCATCGTCATCACCATCTCCCTGGCTCCTCCGTAACGGATAGGCTTCACCTCCAGAACGGAACCTCCAGTCTGCTTCCAGTTTCTCCCTCGAGAATGCTTGTTGACTTAGTCGCAGTCGGGCTCCCACAACGCGCGCTTCGTGGCCACTCCATTGACCTGTCGCCGATCAGAGAAACAGAGTCAGACCCATGCTCTGACAGATGAGCTTTCATTCAGTGGATCGAAGATATATATCGCTATAACCTGCACGTAGCGTTCAATTCGTTTCCAAGCGAAGCGACTGACTTTCTTCTCTGAGAGACTTACTCCGCTGTAAAAACTGTGTTTGACAATCTTCCCTAGTTAGTGCGAGACAGTAAATGTAATTAACAACAAGGGTCAAGGGAGATCAAATCATTATTGGAGGAATGTGTGGCAAGGAATATCGTTGAGAGACGGACAATGATCGACACTTGAGGAAAAGGTTCGTTGAATACCAGGTCACAGTTTAATTCTGAATGTTGAATCGATTGATAGTAACACAGTGCACGGTGATGCTGGCTTTTACTCGGCCAGCCTCTATGCTTCACTCTACTTACGGCTGACCCTGTTCATAATAATTAATGGTGTTAGACTCGGTGAATGCCTGTGGACTGGTCATGCTTGCCTCACGCTGCAGAATGATAGGCTGCGGGTTGTTTTGAAAAAAAAGGAAAATCGTACGTTCTGACTTCGTCTATCCGAGGGGATAGTTGCAGATATGTAGAAATGTCAAGTCAATCGAGAGTCAGTTTTCCTTGTTTTTTTTTTCTTTTTTTTTTTCTTTTCCAGTCTATGTCTCGACCGAAAGCAATTGATTCAATTGTAATTGCAGGCGTGGCATTGCTGAAAGGGGAAGAGAGGGCGGGCGCACAAGGATGCGCTTACGCAGGAAACGGTGCATGTGCCGGTGACGCTACAGAAAAACTTGGAGCCACAGCAGAGCCATAGAGAGTGATAGAAGGAGGGAAGTGGACGGATGACGCGATGAGACTGAGCCCGATTATCCTGTCGTGGGCCACGGCGAGTTGCCTCGGTCCAACCGGAACTACGGCGATACGAGCTGAAGCCTCGAGGGATTACGAACTGTCGACGGAATTCTTCGTGGTACCTAGCGACGTAGCGATGGACAGGAACGGTCTGGCAAGCGTGGCCAGTGTCATCAGCGTTCCAGCGCCGAACAGGACGATTTCGGTGTTGAGAATGCCAGCTGGGAAGAAGAAGAGCCAGGAGATCGAGACCGATGGCCGGCCGTACTCGAGATCCTTGCTCAGACAACGACCCTGGGCTCTTCCTCTGGCGGCCCTCAGCGCAGCCACGATGCTCCTCATGGCTGGCTTCGAGGTTTTCGTACTGCTCAAGGTCGGTTCGTTTACCTTTGCCAGCCAACCAACCACCTTCTTTTCAAACCGATCTCGCCAAGCGATCAGTGCGCTTCAAATCGCAGAAACGATTCGTTTTCGCCGGTTGCGAAAATGCAACAAACATTGCGTGTGTGTCCAATTCGTCCCCCGATATAAATACATTTGAATTATTAATTCGAGAAGGAAAAAGCCAACAAGCAACAGGTCAAAGTATAACTGTTTCGTTGGGAATTATTTGCAAAACGCGTTTCGCGAAGAATTCGAATCGCAGGATTGTTACTTGAAAAATGGAAACAGAGCGCGAAGATGCTGCGGCTCAGGCACCGGGCGCAAAAAGTGGCAAGAGCTTGTTGCCGATCGAGCCGATTGCGCGCAATCGTGTGAAACGTGTTCTCGCGTTATGGCCGTACGAGCATCTGTAATCGAGAATCGAGGAAGCGCCAGATTAATAGACCTTAGAGAACTCCTTTTCTTTTTCTTTTTTCTTCTTTTTTTCTTTTTTTTATGGTGCGTGGAAAAAAACGTGCACGAAGAATTTATGGTAATCGTTTTCGTTCGTACTTCGACAAGCTCCAATAACCGAGCACGCTCGCAATTTCACCGAGACCTAGGCCTAGTTTGCATGTCGACCACCTATTTCTCCAAGACGTGTCGTCTGCTTGTATGCCGACACGCTCCATTGAACAGCTCCGTGGTGGATAGCTTTTGATAGCTTTCGATGCGTACGCTATCTTCGGCAGAGGATCAGTTATTTTCAATCAATTAATTGATCGTCGTTTCAATTGCAAGCGGTGCTCTTGCTCGAACACTTTCACACAACACAATTACAGTCTCTTTTTCTCATTTTTTTTTTTTTTTTTTTTTTTTTTCTTCCTTTCGCTCGGTGTGATATGTTTGAAATGTGGCCAATTGCTTGTGTTTACTCGGGCCGATACGCACGGCTGCTTTATTAGTTGTTCTAATTGGAGAGATTGACCCGGCCGATTGTAATTAATTCGGCTGTGGATTACACCGTGGCACGTAACGATCCACTTTGCGAACAATTTGACGTGCAACAGTCCTTATCGCATCTCTCCGGCTTGTTCTGTCATTAACAGAGCAAACGCAGGGAAACAGAAGAAGAAGAAGAAGAAGAAGAAGAAGAAGAAGAA